AACTAATTCTGTCCACTTCAATCATTTAGTTCATATTTCAGTTTGAACCTGCATCCTGTTGGCTTCAGCTCAAATCTTTTATTCTTTATTCAGATTGTGGGACTGCAGTTTGTCAGAGATCAGCTGTTCTTATCTGGGCTCAGCTCTGAAGTCCAACCACTCCCATCTGACTCAACTGGACCTGAGTCACAACCAGCTGTCTGACTCTGGAGTGAAGGAGCTCTGTGGTTTCCTGGAGAGTCCAAACTGTAGACTGGAGGTTCTGAGGTCAGTTACTTCAGCTGTTGGAGGTTTTCTATGTTTGTCCAACTAAAATCGTTCTCTGATACTTCACAATTTATTCACTTATAAATGTTTCATTCATTTCAAAAGTTCAACTTGAACACGTCTGTTTTGAAGTTTCTCTTTCCAAACGTCTAAAAACCTTTTTAGAACAAAAACATGTTTGCTGCTTGTTTTAACTTTTTAAAACACTTTTACTGGATTCAACATGAAACAGTTGTCTCAGCGATGAAGGAGAAGGAAGAGCGATCATGTTTTTACCTGTTTCTGTTTTGTCTGTGTGCAGTTTGTTTGTTAGCAAAAAAACCTTGTAAATCACAGAAAATATTATAATAAACTTTTAGAAAGTCATCATTAGATGAACATCTAGAACTGATGAACTGTGGTTGTTAACCAGATTCAAGATGGCCACCACAGATAATCAACCTAAGCTTGTACCAAAGCATCTGTAACAGGGAGTATTTCAGATAGTGAGCTAAAATGTGGTGTGGTAGTAGCTGAGAGTCACAGTTGGTTGGAAAGTTGACCCCAGGATGCAGAAAGAAACGAGGAACTTTAATGACGAACTAAAGCACAGATTCTTAACTCTTGGGTGGTGACCCACAAGTTGTCCAGGATCTCCACCTCTATGGCTCTAAACAAATCAGTTTTTCAAATGTGGGACTGAGATCACATAAATGTTCACTTGAAAACACCAGAACTGTTCCTGTTAACATGAGAGGCTGATTACAGTACATGTTCCCACCCCTTGGTGGCGCTAACGACCCACTCAGATGTTTAACGAGCTTTTTAATAACCTCAGTCAGGGTCCTCCTTCGCAGAAGGGGAGCTCAACCTGTATGAGGGGGCGTGACTAAGTGTGATCTCAGTGGATCTTATGTGGTTATGATATGAGACGGTGCGACTAAGTGTGATCTCAGTGGATCTTATGTGGTTATGATATGAGACGGTGCTTCAAAAGCCTTTCTGCGTGATGTGGCAAGCAGATTAACTATTCCTTCACGGATATTGAATCCCAGGGAGACTCTTTTTAGAGTGGCTGGCCCAGTTTAACCCAGTCAGAACCGGGCCATAATTTCATTATAATCCCATCTCTGAGCAGATCAAAACCATAGGACCAGTCTAGATAAGAAATATTTAACAACTCCCCCTGGGAGATGCCTACAGGCTATAGCGTGTGATCTGCCAGCCTCAGGTCGCCTGACCCAGCCCTGGACATCTGCCTAGGACTTCAGCATCCCCCTGGTGTGGTGCAATGACATAATGGAAATTTCTAACATTGGTCTAAGTCAGTTCTCTAAATATATGATTCAATGATTGCAGGAGGCGTCCTAATGCAAGAAAGCATTCTTATCTACTAGAT